CCGGGGGTGCCTTAGCCTCCCTTGCCCTCCTCCCGTGGCCACGGGGAGGGTTGTGGCTTCTGCTTGCCGGGCGTGCGCTCGATGCACTGTGGGTCAATGGGGACAAAGGCGTGGGTCACCATCACGGGCAGCTCAGGGGCTTCCTTGTCTTCGGCCTCCACAGGGGGCCCGGTGAGAGAGGCCTCCTCGGGGTCTTCATCCTCCCCTTCGGGACTCGAGCGCCTCTTGGTGTGGGCGAGCTCCGGCTGGGCGCTGTGCTGTCTGTGGTCCCACGGCAGGGTGGCATCGGGGTCCCCAGGGTGTTCGTCCAGGGCTGGTGGCACCTTGTCCAGGGGAGTAGCCACGGTCACCTTCCCCATCTCCAGCAAAGCCACCTCCTCGGGGGGCAGGATGGGGTCAGCAGCGGCCATGGCTGATGCGGTGCCGCTGAGGACGAGCAAGAAACTCTGCTGTGTTTTGGGGAGGGGACGAGGTTCCTGTCCCTTCCAGCTTCACTCTGCAGCGGGAGAAAGGAGATGGGCAAAAAAAGAGAGCAGAAATGAGAGGTTTGGGGGCACAGCACCAGTGAAAACGGGGGGTGCAAACTGGCAGCCCTGGAGTCCCCGGCACCCGCCTGCCCTTCCATGAAAGCAGAGCCCGGTGTGGGTCTGGCTGCAAAACGGGGGCTCAGGGGGGACTGGACCCTCCGCGGCTGATGTGACCGGGTCCCCCTGCAGCTCCATCCTGGGCCAGCATCAGCCAAGCCCAAATATTTGGGGCGAGCTGGCCAGGCTGCGTGGAGGAACCATTGCTAAAGCCAGGATGAGCTGGATTTGCTGCCTCCTGTGGCTGAGACCGATTTGGGGTGGGTGCAGGAGGCTGTGGGGAGCTCCTTGCTATGGGGAGCAGGAGATCCAGGCACAAATCCCACATTATTCTCTCTTAGGGGGGGATCCCTGTCTCTTATCTCATTGCTGGCTGCACGCCTAGGAGCCTCCTGCAATGAAAACCAATCTTCCTCCCTTCTGAGCTCATTCAACCCCGCACCCCCAGAATGAGCTCTGGTTGTGGGGTACAGAGAGCCCTGGCC